GATTCCTAGGATTATTTTATATTCTCCAAAGTAAGAGAATTCGAAAGGGGCATTTTGACAGCTGGGTTTACTTAGTGGAAAGTTTGAGAGAGTGACAATTTTGGAAGGAGACAGAGCTGGGCCTGGGATTTGGGATGGTGCTGGAAAGCAAAGAGGATGCTGGTGTCAAGGTCCTACTGTACAAATACAGGACAGATGTAATTCAACTTGTATATACTGAGATGTACCACATAGATACAGATACTGAGAGAAAATTTGCACAATACCATAAACACCGCTGTTGTTTCTTTCTCTGGGCTTCTTTCCCCTCCTGTATTTAGAAGGAAAGAAAAAAATCAACATTGAACAATGTTTTCCAATTTTTGTAGGATCACTTCTACTGATAGGCCCTATCCTGGTGTGGTAACAGGGATGACCAATTCAATTTCATGTAGAATCCTAAATGGAAGTTTTCTATATCCGTGGTAATTATCGCATTACAGTTTACGGGGAAAAAATGACCAAAAAGGGTGCAAGCATACAGACATGATCTTATTACACAGTTATAATTGTGTGATCTTGATCACATTCATTTTAATCTCTCTTCGTCTCATTTCCCTTCTTCATAAAATGAGTCCTCTGTCAATATCATGACCTCCCTTCTATTGATGCTGTAAGACTATATATGTCGCCCTTGTCCCAGTTAGAGCCAGTCCCTCACAGACTTAGGCTTGTATTATGGAGGGTGTTCTCTAGTAAATGTGCTTCATTTTGCTCTGATCTAGGTGTCTTGCTAGGATCAAGCTAACCGAAGTATGGAGCACAGAACAAATTAATTACACACAACCAAACATACAAGGATTTGTACCAAGGCCCTGAGGCAGTCAAGAAAACTTTCTCCTTGGCTGAATATAATCTCTCCCAGGAATAGTTCCTTCAGGCATATAATACCACTCTGGACTGCCCCTCTGTGTCTCTGTGCATCCTTTCCCCTTGCTATCCCAGGAAGGCTAGCACTTCGGGATAACTAGGGAATCTTTTGAATTTTTTTTTCAGTCATGTCCAATTTTTAACCCTGTTTGGGGTTTTCTTGGCAAAGATACTGGACTGCCATTTCCTTCTACAGCTTATTTTACAGATGAAGAAACTGAGGCAAACAGAGAGACTTGCTCAGGTTACACAGCTAGTGTCTGAGGCCAGATTTGAACTTGGGAAGATGAGTCTTCCTGACTCCAGGCCCTGCCCTCTACCCACCGTACCACCTAGCTGCCTCAGGAAATCTTAGGATCACAAATAAGATAATAGATCTTCAACTAGAAGGGACCCCAGAGGCCTTTCTAGTGCTGGCCTAGAGGGTAGGCCCTCAGCCAAAGCAGGGACAAAAACTCAAGATTACTTAAGATTCCGGAAACTCTCCTCTGCCATGTCCCCACCTTCCTTTGGGACTTACTTGGTCCAAGTGACTCACAGTACCAGTAAAGAGTAATGTCTAGATTTATTCCTCTACATTGTGTCCCTGTGACTTGGTACTTTTTAGTTCCATTTTCTCACTGTGGCTGGAAACTCCCTTGTTCTCTACTTCGCCATTTTGTTCACCATCCACTCCTGTTGTGACTGGAAAGTTCCATTGGCCTGCTGCTATTATACTTTCTGATCCATGGCTGTCATCTGCTTCCCAAAGCAGCAGCTGCCTTTTTCTTTTTTTTCTTTCCTTCTTTCCTTCCTTCCTTCTTTCCTTCCTTCTTCCTGCCTGCCTTCCTTCCTTCCTTTCTTCCTTCCTTCCTGCCTTCCTTCCTTCCTTCCTTCTTTCCTTCCTCTCTCTCTCTCTCTCTCTCTCTCTCTCTCTCTCTCTCTCTTCTTCTTTCTTTCTTTCTTTCTTTCTTTCTAAGAGAATGAGATTAACTAGTCAATCATCCTTAGGGCTGGTCAATAAATTTCCAGAACAGTTGTTAGTGTAAGCAGTTCTACCTACTATCACAAAAAGGAAAGTGACTCAGGCAGCAGTCAAAACCTCTACAATCACCCTTCTCAAGGTTCTCAGCTCTTACTTTTAGCTGACTTGGTGCAACTGAATTCTGTTCACCAATTCCTTGCCTTAGATGTAAGTTATGTGCCCCACACTCAGTCAAAACCTCCTACTGGGTATCCTGCTGAAGAAAACACATACCTGTTACTATTTCTCTTTCTAACTCTCACCATCCTCTTTGGTGACCATGCCAATTGCCTAGAGGCTCTAATATGATTCAAGAAAACCCTAGATCAGGGAGGGGCAAAGCTAGTGACCTCTGTCAACATTCCTATTACCATACCAGAAGTCCATGGCTCCATTATATATGCCAAAGGCTTTGCATTTCTTGAAAGAAAAAGCTTTCAGGGAATTTAAAGTATTATTGTGCTTATTTCCTATCAGCCAAGAGTTCTTTGTGCATAGAGGGTAGCAGAATCTTTTCCAGAACTTTCCCTTCCTCTAAGCAAAATGAAGACAAAGGATTTAGGTGAAATCATTGGCATGGGTGTGAAATAGAGCCTCTAGTGTGTCATCTGATTCTCCTCTGAGCCTCAGGCCTAAATCCAGTGCCTTTTACAAAGACTACTCTTTTGTTCCAAGCCTCGTTGACTTATGACTGAACTAGAATCCTCTCTATTTTCAAAGAACCAAAGGCCCAAAGCAAATCCAAAATTGAGGTCAGTTTATGACAAACCCTGCAGTTGAGTTCATCAGGCCACTTTACCCTGTTCTACAGTGGAAGTCAGCTTACACCTTACCCCCACCGTTGACCCAGTTTCATGGAGTCTTCTGGTTTGGTGGGGTGGTGAGGATTTGCTCTTCTATTGCTGAACATACAACTCTGAGGCTAAGCCCAGAACAGACCATAAGTGAATGAAGAAAAAAAATTTATTGTGTGCCCACTATGTGCTAGGCACTGTGCTAAAAATGTGGATAAAAATACAAAAAAATCCCTACCCTCAAGGAACTTACATTCTAAAGGGTAAGGCAATGTAAATAGGAGACTGATGGCAAATTAGGGGGGCATTTTGGTTTCAGAGGTCACAGGGAGAGTGGGTAGAGTCAAAGAGCAACTGATTGACATATCCTTTACAGAAATGATAATACGATATTGATTTGATTACTCTTCCCAGAGCAAGAGGTGGAAAGAGCTGGGGTGGTGAGGATGGAGATAACAGGAAGAAGGCCCAGGTATAGTGTGCTGGATCTGAGGATGCATAGATGTATTGAATTCTTCCCAATCAGTATGCATTGGAAAGTAGTTGGAGTATTGGGATGGGTATCAAGAGTGTCATGTAGTCTTCTAGGTCATACTGACCTAAGGGAAAAGGAAATTAAAGAAGTCAATTCTCTCTCCCTGATGGCCTTCCTAGTTCTTTCAGACCTGTACATCCAAGTGTTAAAACAGTGAATGGGGGTGGGGTTAGCTAGGTGGTGCAGTGGGTACAGCACTGGCCCTGGAGTCAGAAGGACTTGAGTTCAAATTTGACTTCAGATACTTGATACTTACTAGCTGTGTGACCCTGGGCAAGTCACTTAACCCCATTGCCTAGCCAAAACAAAACAAACAAAGAAAAAACTATGAATGGGGAAGAAAAGATAAGGAGCCTGTAATGAACAAACCCTGATTGTAAAGCTTACTTGCTTCCTAGGGAAGCTAAGCAAATTTTCTTCTTTTGGCACCTCTTTTCCTTCCAATTCCCTCATGAGCCAATAATAAGGAAAACTATATTGCCAATTACATTGATAGTGTGATTTAAAGTATTATTATGTCATTTGAAAGGCTCAAGAGGATATTTTAATACAGTCACATGAAAAGAGTTCCAATCAACCAGTAAGAATCACTTCCAAAACATAACAATACTTTTAATTAAACCAGAATTCTGAAAAATAAAATGTGTGGTCTTTTACCAAGTTGGTGAATTCTGGCTCCTCCTTTTTGTCAGGTTTTTACCAATTGTGTTGATAAAACATTTTTCCCCCTCCTATGTACAGAATCTGCTTGGCTATCTAGTTCCAAATACCCATGGTAACGAAGGCCTAGAAAAAGTTAAACTCTGAGATATCATTCATAAGGATTTGGAATATAAACCAAAGATTTAGCGTTGAAGAGTTAATGTGTTATATTGAAAGTAAGAAATATGTTTACTAGCTCAAGCTCTCCAGCCAGATTAATTTATTTTCATTGAAAACTTCAGTTTTATTCCCAGTTAACATTGCCACTCTCTGTCTTTGCCCTCTTCTGGATATGGAAAGCCTTTAGATGAAAACCACTTAGTTTCAAATGAATCTAGAACTTGGATGGCATCAAGCTACTCTAGCCTTCACCTTGTACTGTGATCCACATACACCCCAAATATTTTAACATCAACCCTGGTGTGAGTATAATCAAGTCTGAAGAGATTTTGCTGCTGAAGCTTGAAATAGTTTCCTCATCAGAGCTTTAAGGCAGTTGTGTGTAGTGAAAACAGGTCCGTAGAAACATGTATAACCTATTTGTCTTTAGAATCAGGTGTCTAAGAAGTCCTTTTATGGAAAAGTTGCCACAAATAATACACTGATTTACTACTCGGGGGTAAGTTTCTCACGTTGAAAAGTGATGACATTAAATTGAACCAGCTCCCAGTATTCCACTGAATTATTCTTACTGTGCCTTCAGTGTGCTGAGGATCCTACAATGAAAATAAATACTAAAACCAAGGTGCCTCTAGGCCCAATCTCTCACTATTCCCAGCCAAAAAAAAATGCAAAATAAACAAAAACAAACAAAAAACTCTACTACCTTGGCCCCCGATACTTTATGAATTTACCACACATAGTATATGTCTTCATAGAAAATGATTTATTTGAACAAAGCAGGCTATAAAATTAAGCAGGAGTTAAATTTCATCTTGAAGGTGGTGTTAAGTGAGGTTGGAGGTGGGGAGAGGGAAGGAGGAAAGAAAGCTACTTTTCTATATAGGTTCTTACTCCACCAATCCCACATGACCTTATCACCTGTTTTGGACTTCAGGAGGACCGAAGGAACTAGGAGAGGAGATACCTTCGCAGATAACACCCTGCCTCCAATACAAAGCTCGACCAATCTCTTGTCACCAATTCACAAACAAGCCGATCTAAGACATCCTTCTGTCTCAGAATCCCAGCCTCAAATCGCTACACTCAAGAAAAGAGAAAAATCCTACTTCATCTTGATTAAATGTGAACATGTGACTTTGAAAACATTAAGTACTATGTACATGTGACTTAACATTATTATTAATTATCACAATGGCACATTAGTCAAAAACACGAATACATTCTTTGTTCTTATCATGTTGTATCTGGTACTTCTCTGTACTACAAGATTGTAAGTTCTTTGATGGTGGCAACTATGTTATCATCTTTTATCTTTGTAACCCCAGACTCTTTCTTAGTATCTGGCATATAACAGGAACTTTAATAAGTTTGTCAAGTTGAGTTGAACTGAACATTTGTCCTCGTAGGGATAAAACAGAAACCAAGAATGAGAGAAATATGTCTGAGGAAAATAGCTTTGAGCTTGCTTAAAAGTAAGGAGTGAATGGGGCAGCTAGGTGGTGCAATGGATAGAGCCCCAGCCTTGGAGTCAGGAGGACCTGAGTTCAAATATAGCTTCAAACACTTGTCACTTATTAGCTGTGTCACCCTGGGCAAGTCACTCAATCCCAATTCTGTTACCAAAAAAAAAAGTATTGAGTGAAATTTCTTAGTTAAATTTGACAGGTAAACTGTGCAAGTCAGTGGCTGAGATGAGATCTTTCGTGCTGCTGACAACACCAAAATATGCCATTTTCTCTTTTTTTTCCTTTTTAAAAAGCATATAAAACATTTGAAGGATGCAGATGTAGGAAGAAAAATATACATTTCACAATGACTTTGAAAAAGTACATACATTTAATGATAGTGACATAAATACAATCTTTACTAATGAACAAATCACAATTAAGATTTCATTTTTCTTGAACTTCATACAATCACATTTCAGAAATTTTCTTACACAATGACAAATTGAGTCCAGGTGTAGACAGATAGAAAACAGCTAACTCTTGGCAAAGCAGGTTACATTTGTATGTTCACCAAATAGATTGGATGGGAGGGTCAAATGCTCTACATAAATATAATAAAATGAAAGATTTGATGTTTTTCTTCCCTTCAATTACATGTATTTGCCATATACTCACAGAAAATACAGTTGTACCTGCCTCCTCCTGACCCAACTACTTTTCATGGAGTTCTGAATAAACCTAACTTCAAATGAAGTAATCATTTGTAACAGTCCATTACGCAGGAATCTGGGCTTGTTTCTGAAGTATGTATGGAATGTTCTTCTTATACTGACAACACACTGGTTTTTATGAGCAAGTATAAAAAAGTTTACCTACTAAGTTATATTTAAGGGAGAAAAGGAATTCACAGAATTTACTGGCACACTCATTGCAAACTTATAAAAAAGTAATAGAGAGGCAATATGGGGTAATGGAGAAAGATTTAGACTGAGGAGACCTATGTTTCAGCCCAGTCTCTGACACTCTAATAGTCACTGTGCCACCATAGGTAAGTCTTTATTTAAACTCCCTGAGCCTCATTTTTCTTGATGTAAAATGGGGATGATACTTGCTCTCCATATCTTGCAAGATTTGTCATGAGCAAAAAAAAATAATAAAAAGCCCTTTTTTGGGTAAATCTTAGAATCCTATATAAATGTAATTATGTTTGCAATTGGAAATAGCCAAAAAAAGTTTCTTCCCTGATTTAGAAACAAATAGTGTCAGATAGAGGGATATTATTATTATTATTATTATTATTATTATTATTATTATTATTGGCAATGTGGTCCCAGAGAGCCAGGAAGATGGGTTCAACTCTGCTTCTGACACCTACCAGCTGGTTACTTGTGGGCAAGTCACTTAAATTCTCAGTGCTCTAGACAACTTTCTAAGATAAGTAAGAGCTTGCAAAGCAGAAGCTTATCTGGAATGGTAAAGGGAGTTTCATCACCCAAGAGCTCCTTATATCAATTTCCTTATTATTAACTTTGCTCTTCCTTCCCTTAAAAAAAAAGTCAGTGTCAACTCTGAAGTTCTAGAGATTAATTTGAGGGCAGCTAGGTGGTACAGTGGATGGAGCACTGGCCCTGGATTCATGAGGACCTGAGCTCAAATCCAGCCTCAGACACATAACACTTACTAGCTGTGTGACCCTGGGCAAGCCACTTAACCCCATTGCCTAAAACAACAAAAAAGAAAAAAAGAGAGATTAATTTGGATTTGCATACAAAAATAACAAAATAGTGGAAATATAATTGCCCCTCCCCAAAACATAGTTTAGAATTGGAGGATGTAGAAGTTGGAAGGAACCTCAGGGGCTATTTAATCCAATCTGTAGAGTCCCTTCTACAATACAGATGACAAATGCTCACTCCACCCTGAAAATCCTCCAATGACAGGGACCCCATTTCTTCTCATGGTAGGCATTTTACTTTTGGCCAGTAAGCACTGCTAGAAGCTTTTCCATATATCAAACCAAAATTTATTTTCTTTGATTTCCACCAAGTGCTATTCTTCCCTGAATCCAAGAATAACAGCTATTCTCCCTTTCATACAATGGCCCTATATATTTTTGAATATGGATGAAATACTGTTCTAGGAGTCAGGAAGACCTGAGTTCAAATTCCACCTCATACAATTACTAACTGCCTAATCTTGGGCAAGTTATTTGACCTCTCTGTGCTTCAATTTCTTAATCTGTAAAATGAACGGGTTGATCTTGACAGTCACTAAGACCCCTTCCAGCTCTAAAACTATGATCCTTTGTACCTCCTCAGTATTTTCTTTTCTAAACTAAAAAATCTTGGTTTCTGTTAAGGCATAGTCTCCAATCTCCTCACCTTCTTGGTCATCTTCCTCTGGAATGCTCCATTTTTTATCACTGTTCTCACTAAAACATGGTCCTTGGATGTAAATAAAATCCTCAAGACCTGGTCCACCCAGAGCATAATACATTGAGAATATTACCTCCCTTTGTTTTGGATACTGTTTTTTTTTTAAATAGCCTAGTATATCATTAATATTTTTGGTTGTCATGCCACACTATTGTCTCAATTTGAGCTTGCAATCTTATAAATTCCCTACATCTTTTTCACACAAACTGTTACGTGGCCATACTTCCCCTCTTCTAAACTTGTGAAGTGATTTTTGTTTTTAGAGCGCAAAGGCAGAACTTTACATTTATTCCTATTATATTTCATCTTACAAGTTTTGGTCCATTGCTTTAGCTTAAAAGATTCTTTTTGATCCAGAGTTTGTCAAAAACATGTTAACTATACCTCTCTGCTTCATGTCACCTGAAAATTTGAGGAGCATGTTAGAAGGACTCACACAAGGGAGAAGAAAGTAGTTTATGCTTTTTATTACTGAAACTCCCATCTGTTGCTAGAAGTATGGGGAAAGATAGGAGATGATATGTTTCAAAAGTCTGAGGAATCAGTAAGAAGAAAAATATTATCAATATACAACCTTAAATAGATTTTTTCATCTTTTAATTCAATTAAATTCAGAAAGCATTTGTTAAGTGTTACACATTTCCTCCACATGTACCTACCCTTCACCCAATTTAGCTTATTTGCAGATCCTTGTAAACAATATTCATTCTACACCTCCAAGCTTTTTCACAAGCACTCTTGCATATGGCATGTTCTCACCAACACTTTTTACAACCTTTAGTTTCCTTCTAGGCTCAGAGGGCTTTCCTGATTTCCCCATGTATTTGTGTCCTCCCCATATAATTTTGTATTTATTTTCTCTATTTCCTGTATTTACTTATATGAAAACTTGTATCTCTCTAGTAGAATATAAGTTCTTTGACGGTCAATGGGGAGGGAACAGTCTTAATCCTTAATTCGCATTGTTTTAGGGACTATTTGCCCGTTTACCAAGAGAAGATGAGGTCCCTGACCTGCTTTCAATGGAGTGTTCATATGGGATTCTGGCTCGTGATTACCTTATTCAATAGGCAAAGGACTTTCCCTGAGCCTGTGACCCATCTCTCCAAGTTATGTAACACCTATGTTAAGCTAATCATGTTAGTGTTCCAACTCTGCTCACTCTCCTTTGATTACCAATTGTTTCCCCCAAAGTGTCAAGGTCCATTCATGATTCCATGAAGCAGCAGCAAAATCAACAGCTAAGAGGAGAAAGTAACTAAAGCAAAGAGCTTAAGCTGGAAATAATCAGATACAGTGAAGATAACAGCCCAGACAAAATCCTCAATGCACCCAGCTTTGGTTCAGTCTTTTAAAATCCTCAGCAAATCTGTGTGGGGAAAAGAGAACTAAAACTTAGTGCTTACCCTCCCTCCTAGACTTTCTCCCCCTTCCCCTCCACCCCCAACCAAGGGCAGTACTTCAAAGAAGACAATGGATTTAAACATGGCATATGCCTGGTAAATTTGTTTTCACAGCTTGTAACAGATAGCTTTGTTCTAGAATGTGCTACCTTTCTTGGCAGTCTAGAAATAACACTGCTACAGAGATGGTTTAGCCTTCTGGCTATAAGAATTCCACTTTAGTGCTCCTTTTGAGGAAACCAATTGCAAATGTCTGAGAAACATTCTGGAATGTTCCAAGCTAGCTTGTTAGAAGATGGGTGTGTCAGAACACACCAACACAGCAGATTTACGCCCCCCCCAACCCCTAGCCCCTGCAAAACACATACAATCCATGTATGTGAAATGGATAGACATAGGCCATAATTGGCCTACTACATACCAGACACTTCGCAAATTTCATTTGATTCTCACAATAATTCTGGGAGGAAGGTGATGCTATTGTCCCCATTTCACAGTTGAGGAAACTGACACAGACATATTAAATGACTCGATCAGGGTCACATAGCTCTTAAGTGTTTAAGGCCAGATTTGAATTCAGGTCTTTCTGACTCCAAGCCAAGCACTCTATTATCTATTCCACCACCTAGCTGCCTAGCCAAAAGAAGACTGGGTTCCAGCTCTCTTTCTTACTATGTGATTGGTGAACAATCTCTGTTTCTTTCTCTTTAAGATGAAGCTGTTGGTAAAGTCCCTTCCATCTCAAGGACTATAACCTTTAGCAACCTTTTTAAAGTTCCCAGTGAAACCATGTTGAGCTTAGTAGAATCATTTTTTAGCTTACCAAACAACTTCTAAAATAGTTATGCTATTTGTGTTCAGTATCTCATGATGAAAATTTCCTTTGTGAAAGAGTGGTTTGCTATTTTGGAAGCTGAGGTGGGGAGAGGATCAGTGAATAGTGATAGGAAGGAAAAAAAAAGAATGGACTAACAGCAAGACATTAAAAAATACACATAAGAGCAGAAGGAATTTCAAAAAGGGGCACAAATAGGACATTTTTGTCACTACCATGTTAAACTTAAAACACAAACTGTACTAACAGAAGTTCATAGTTACATATACAGTCGTCTTCTGTTCTTTGTCTATGTTTGTTGATATGAATTTCGTAATAAAAATTTTTAAAAGAAAAAGAAATGATTCACCCATTAACTAGTTTCAGGTAAGGATGGGAGGAGGGTCAAACACCTCAAACCAAACAACAACAGAAACCTTTGGCAAAACCTTGCTCTAGAGAGCAGAGTTCCTGTCTTCTTTCCCATCTTAATTCTTGAAATTCAGTTCATTCTCAGTCCAACAGCCCTTTCTCTGGGGAGGTGGCTCTGTCTTGCGTCTGTGGCTCAACAGTGCATCAAGGTTGCCTGTATCTCTTAATTGTGATATCCTGTGTCAACAAACCAGAGCAATGAACTCTAGTTCTTAGCTTACTGGAATTCCATGACATTGTAATGGAGTCACTCCATTGCAAAATCAAGGACTACTTCGCTAAAAATAGAAAGCTTTTGTGAATCAAACTTTTCTGCCAACTGAATGCTTTTTTGATATAGCTGTTTACACATGATTATGACATATAGTAGAATGAGAAGATTCCACTCAGAAACACAGAGATGTTGGCAGTGTCTACATGAGACAAAATTAAGGAGAAACCTAACAATTATCTGGTTAATCTGATACACATAGACTGTCAATACATAAAAGTTCTTACTCCAAAGGGGATGGTGATGAAGGAAGAGGGGTTGAATGATATATCAAATTCCTCCCCCTCCCCCAATATGCTTTTCTGTATAGGCTTCAGAAACATGGATGAACTTCAACTGTTGTTTTTTTTTTTAAACACAAAATATATCAAGAGCTTATCTATCTCTCATCTCATAAAATAAGCCTGTAAAAGACAATCAATACAAGATTCCCCAGACATAACACTCTGGCAGATATGCAGAGTTATGTAACAATACTTTCCCTTTGTGGTGAAATGTTCAAATCCTAAGACACTAGAACTCTGATGACCTAAATTAACATTGGCCTTTCACGCTGTCATTGGTATCAAATGAAATGTTTCCTGGATTAATCTGATGTAGTGGAGGCAGCCGGGTCTCCAAAGGCTTGTCAGCAGAGGACTGAATAGTCTGATTTCTCTTTCTCAACATTTGTCCAACTCCCATCATGGGAAACCTGCCTCTACTTTTCACACAATTTGGACTCCCCAGAGGATGTGTGGTGCCATTAGGAGGAACTGCTGGAGGGGAACACATACCCTCTTCCCTTGAAGGGCTATTTTTTTCTTCACAGGCAAAAGAGACTGGAGTAGAATGAGTGGGAGCTTTGCTAGGGGAGATGCTCCCCAGTGGTAAGACTGGGGATAATGTCCTCTCATTAGAGTTTCTTCGTAAAATGTTCACTGGTGAACTCAAAATCCTATAGTGATGAGTTGGAGAGAGCAGTTCTATTTGGTCCTCTCGATCAACAGATTCAAAAGACCGCACAACATCTAGGATTAAATGAGCTTCCTTTGACTGGATCCCCATGCTTGCAGGTTCTTGCTGATGAAGCTCCTGCTTCTTCATAATTCTTGGGGTCCTGGGATGCTGAATTTCTAGATATTCCAAGGAACAAGAAGCAATACACCCAGTCTTGGCTCCTACAGCAGCTTCGTGGAAGGGGCTAAGGCCACGAAATGAATCTGCAATCAGGAAAATCAAATTATAGAAAAAGCCATAAATGCCTGATATGACTTGCCTGATATCAACAGGATAAATGAGGACAGGAAGAAAGAGAGTAACTTTTTACTTCTTTTTTAAAATTATAAATTATAAGTTAGTCAACAAAAACAAATATTTCCACATATAAAGGTCAGAAAAATATGATTACATAAGAAACCATGAATCTAAAAAAAACCCATGGATCTATTACATATTTTAATACATACTTTAATATATAAGTATTTTAACACATACAGTATATCAATCATAACAATTATATATTATTGTAATATTAATGTATACAGAATTTTTACTACATATGGCTATGCTTTTCTGAGCCCCCATCTAAGCTTCCTTCTGATCTCTTCTGTGTATTTTTTAAATGTTTGTGTGGTTCTTCCTTCCTTCCTTTCAGTTCCTTACCACTAATCTTCCCATTCTACATCCCAAAACCCTTCCAAATAAAAGCCTTCTCTTTAACAAATAATTATAGTTAAACAAACAAATTTATGTTGTACCTATTCTATCACCTCTCATCCAAGAGGTAAAAGGTATGCTTCATCATTAGTCTTCTGAAGTTATTATGATCACAAACCAATGATGCACAAATAAAATTAATTGTTTTAAAAATCATTTTTGTTGGCATTTAATTGGGCAAAATGGTTTTAAATAATTTCCTTTATTTTCTCTTCATCTGTTGTGAGTTCTTCATTTTTTGAACTTAACAATGTGGTTTTTCTTTCAAAAACATCAGATTAGCAAATACTATGTCTATTGGTTCAAAAAAACCCCTCTAGTTCCTAGTATTATTTATAATTGAATAGGTTTTTTGTTTTGTTTTCAATTTTATCTCTTTGATTTTCAGAATTTCTGCCTTGGTGGTAAGCTAGTTTTTAATCTGTGTAACAGACAGAATACAAAAGTATCTTTCTACAAAAGAAAATGGAAAAAAATCTTGACAGACTAAAACTTTAGGTTTAATCTAATATTACAAAATTCAGAGATAATTATGTCTTGCACTTGACTGAAAAACCAACCTTTTAAGTACAAGATGGAGGATTCATAGATAGACAGGAACTGTATTGAAAAAGATCTGTAAGCTTGTAGAGTGTCAGCTTAAGGAGTCAGCAATGTGACATGGCACCCAAAACAGGGGTATTGTGATGCATTAAGGAGCATAGCTTCTAAGAATAGAGGAGGTATTAGTCTTACAGTACTCTGATCTTGTCAGGCTTCATCTCAAATAATAGTTTTATTTTTGGGCTTCAAAGTTTATAAAGGACATTGATAAACAGGAGAGGATCCAGAAGGAGGCAACCAGGATGATGTAGGGTCTCCAGTGCATGACATAAGAAAAGAAGACTTAGGAGAGACACAATGGTGATGTTTAATATTTGAAGGGTGGTCATATTGGGGAGGAATTAGAGGTGTTCTCTTTGGTTCCAGAGGGTGAACCAAGAGCAAAGTGTAAAAGTTGGAAATAGGCTAAATTATTGTTTGATATCATGAAAGACTTCATAACAAGTAGAGCTGTCTCAAAATGGAATGGACTGCTCTTTGTCCTTGGAGGTCTTCCAACAGAGGCTGGATAAACAACTTTTGGATATGCTACATCGAATGTTTCTTTGATGCCTAGAGTGCACCATGTGGCTGTTGAGGGCCCTTCCAAATCTAAAATTCTGCAATTCTATGAAAGAAACTCCAAATTAAACACACTTATAAATATCATAGACACAATCTAGAGATTCCAGGCCAAAGAAAGAGTCTCACAAGAAACCAGGAAAAAAGTATGAAAGAATCAAGTACCAAAGAATTACAGTCAGGATCACACAAAATCTGGCAGCAACTTATCTTAAAGAAAATAAATCTTGGAATACAATATCCCAAAAGACAAAAGAAAAATGCCTATAACTGCTGGTTCATAAAAGCTTCTCATAGAAACTATAGATACTGTTACAGTATCTTTAAAGTCCAAATGGGATGTTGAGGGAGGAGTACTTTGCACTGACAGTTGGGGGGTCAATTGAAAAAAATGTCTTACTGTGAGATACCTTGCCCTATGGAGTCAGGAAAAGAGTGTGTGTTTTAGAGTTTTGATTTATGGGAAGGAAATGAGTTTGGTAAAGAGAATGTTGGAGAGAAGCTGGAAAAGAAAGGTAAAGAATATGGACAGCTCTTTTCTTATGAAGATGTTATCACCTTTATTTTGAGGATTTTTTGAGAAGAAACTATATTTGACGTCTTAAGAGAGATGTGGAACTTGGTTTTTACAAGTGAAGAAAAGTCATTTGCTGTTAGAGTAAGGATTTGAGGTGACTAACTTTGACATTTGCCATAACCAAAATATTGTAAATAATTATCTGTCTTTGCTCTATTACTCATTTTTATTTGTTCATAAATTGTATATGAGTAACTACTATTAGGAAAGGAGAGTTCTCCAGTATATTAAATAGATGATATTGAATGAACTAGTTGAGGGACTTAATTAACTAATGAATAAAAAGAGGTCATATTTTTATTAATTAGAAGGAAAACATCCAACACACCCTCTAAATAACTGTAAACTTCTATATAACAAGGATAAAAATGGGAAAAAATCAAGTAGCAGGCTAAGGAGTGACTTACAAGCGAGTGTGGTAAATCCCATAAAACCTGCCTACACAACCAAGAAAACTTATCTGTAAAAAATGACTATAACATTACAGAGGAGAAAATGGGGAAAAATAGAATAGAAGACTTTAAAGCATTCCTTTTGAGAAAAACAGAGCTGGGGACCAGTCTTTCCCCTCTTTCTACACAAACAAGAGAGACAAGAGAAACCTAGAAAGGTAACTATGCTTGAGCAATTTGAGAGAATTAAATAATAATTAGATGTTTACATCTTAATAAGGAGAAAGATCATTATCCCTTTAAAACCTCACCTTTTTTAAGAGCCAAAGAAAACCTCAAGTCTTGAGGGGAATCTGTGTTGTTTTGTTTGATTTAAGAGAGCAAAGAAAAACAAAGGGAAAAGGCACATAGAAAGAAAGAAATGAAGAAGAGGGAGGCACTTACTATTCATCATTATAGGTATGCATCATAATAAAAATATACAAACATGGAGGCAGGGGTAAGGGCATGCAGTTATCTTACGAACTTTTATCTGAAGGTGGAGAAGAAGACCCATGAAGAATGGAGTGTAGAATTAAATAAAAATCAGTTGGGAAGTTGAAAGGGACACGGAGAAGGAAGAGGAATGTTTAAAAGGCTGGGTAGAACTGAAGAGGAAATAATCAGAAACAATTCCTTTTGCTATGGAGGTCACATTGCAAAGGGAGCTTAAAAGGAAAAAAAGATTAAGATCCAGTAACTTAAATATGGGCTGGGTGAATAGAGGAAGGACAAAAGGGCGAGATCAGACAGACTATTTCAATTACAGATAACTATCAGTAATCCCAGGGGCAGCTAAGTGGACCAGTGGATGGAGTGCTAGGCCTGGAATCATGAAGACTTATCTTCATGAGTTCAAATATGGCCTTAGACACTTATTAGCTGTGGATCCTGGGCAAGTCACTTAACTGTGTGGTTTTTTTTTTCATTTCCTCATCTCTAAAATGAGCTGGAGAAGGAAATGGCAAACCACTCCAGTATCTCTGCCAAGAAAACCCTAAATGGGATCATGAAAAATCAGACATGACTGAAAAAAAAAAACACTGAACCGAATAACTGAATTGTTAATGCCAATACATTTGTCTCACTTTTCTTTTTCCTATAAAAGGAGCAGGGGGCAGACAAAGAAAGGATATGATATAAGGAAAAAAACTAACAATCATATCCATGAATTTGAATGAGATGGGAATTCTCATAAAACAGAGGGTGGATGAATGGAACAGAAAGCAAAATTTAACAATATTTTGTTTAACATTCTCCTACTGAACCTGTTCTTCACCTTACAGACTTCAAAATCATGCCTCTACTTTTCTCTTATCCTGAACCTTTCCTTCTCACCCTGGAATATCCTACCACACCTGTGGTCTGCTCATAAAATATCCCTCCACCAGATTTTCCTTTTTCTCTCATTGGTGAGTTGCTCCTGAAACCTCCTTTTTAAAAAGGGGCCCAGGCTGGCCTGTCTTCATTCCTCTTTCAGCCCTATAGGTGATTTTCCAGATTTCAAAATCAACCCTCGCCCCAACTAGCTAAGTACCACAATCCCACCTTCCTCACTTTGCTTCTCAGCTTCTTTTTTGCGCGTCTTCCTCCATTAAAATGTAAATTGCTTGAGGACAGGAAATATTTTTCCTATTGTTTGTATGTTATCTCCAGCTCTTAAGACAGTTCCATCATGCTCTCATACAAGAGAATAGTGAAAATGTAAACAGTAAAAGGAATTAAGAAAGGAAACTATATTTTATGTAAAGGTAACATAGAAAATGAAGTAAAATAAATATTAAAAACATATGTAACTCAAATGAAACAGATTAAATATTTAAAGGAAAATCTAATTGAACTTCAGGGAAAAACAAACAAAACAGTAATTTTGAAGAATCTTAATTTGCTCCTTATTTAGACATATTTAAACAAAATATAAGTATGGAAAGATTTAAAAATATGAATAACATTTTAGAAAGGCTGAATGTGATAGTTCTCTGGTAATTTACTGAACAGAGAATTAAAAGGACATATTTCTTGGGTCTAGATGGCACTCTTAATCCAAATAAATGTAGAAAAATCAAACATCCATTACTTATAAAACAAAATTATAATCAATAAACATAATTTAAAGAAAGGAAGGCCTAAGTGGAGACAAAAGAGTGTGTGAGTCAAAAAACAAATTATAGACATGACAGAAAATTTTATCAAAGAATATTATAAAATTTTAGTCAATATTATAAATATTATAAAAATTTTATCAAAGAATATTACAATATAATATCATATTAAGAAACCTGTGAGATGAAGCCAAAGCAATTTTAAGGGGAAAAATTATATCTTAAAACATACTAATCAACAAAAGAGAGATGCTAGAAAAGCCACAAACACAAAAAAAGAAATTTTGAAAGATATAATTGAAAAAGTTTGATGAATAAATAAAATTTTGAAGTTTTTAAAGAGACTAATAAAGTAGAAAAACCATTAACTAACTTTTAAAGGAGGAAATACCAAATCACCAATATAAAAATATATAAAAGGAAAAATCACAACTAATGATGAGGAAACAAAAGGAATTTAGACATCATTTTGCCTAATTACACGCCAACTTATATCAATGGATAACTTAAATTCATATTTATAAAAATATAAGACACCTGACCAAGACATCAAGTCACTTTAATTTTTAGGTGCAACTTTCTGAGGTTTACACAGTAGGGAATGATCCGCATTATACAGAGAGAATTAATTTGAGCTTCTTTATCTGGGAATTCCCTACACCTGTGAAATTAGAGGTATAGTCCCCATTCTTATCACTATCAAGTAGGTAAGGGATAGAGGGAAGGGACCTATAAATACAATAACATTTAAGGCAGCACTTTTTATTATAATAATTATAAACAAAATGGGTGCCTATTATCTAAGGAACAGCTGAACAAATTGTCATTAACATGAATGCAATGGAAATGAAGGCTATGATAGATTCAGATATATGGAAGAATATGTATGAACTGATGCAGAATGAAATGAGCAGAATCAGGAGAACAATTTGTGTTTGCCATAATAATGTGAGGGGAAACAACTCTGAAAGACTTTTGACTACAGGAGCAACCAATCATGATTTCAAAAGATAGAAAACAAATCTTATCTTGCATCTCTTAGTAGAAAGCTAATGGATTAAAGCACAGAATTAGATATACATTCTCAGATACAGCTAACATATTTGGTACAAGGAAGGACTTTTCCTTGGGGGGCAGGGCATGGTAGAGAGGAAGATAAGTTGGTAGTTGCGATAATTTTAAAAAGCATCAATAAAACATTTTAAGGGTTAAAATAAATGAAAAGAACAAGATAAAAGTAAAACAATATTTTAAAAACAAGCTTAGTTATATAAATGTTATCCATTATTAATCTTTAATTAATGTCAAATTCTTAGCTTGCAATTTATGCCAGGAAAGAAAGGGGAAGGCCCACAAATTTGCTTTTAATAAAAAAGATAGATTTCAAGTTCAATTTGTAACATGATGCACTTCTATTTTTTTTTCTACCAAATATATATGTAGGTATAAATGGCTTATTTTAATGGCCCAGTGTAGGCAGCTGCCTAAGTGGTGTGATATGACGAGTGATTTAGGGGCCCTGGCAAATCTCCCAGCTGAAAAATATCCCCTTTGTAGACCATCTCCCTGTTCCCAACACCCCATGCTCATTCCTGCCTCTTTGCTTTTGCTCCTGCTGTTTCTTTACTTCAGGCCCTCCTCCCTAATCTGTCAAGTTCTGCTGCCCCATAAAGCCTCGAACTTCTCCAGCCCACACAGATATCTCCCTTCTTTGACCTTCTGTTGTGCGTATAATTGGCAACACAGTTAGACGTGTACTTGTTCTCTGTTTTATGTACCTTAACCTTGTCTCCTCAATATGACTGTAAACTGTGAGGGTAGGAACTATGCTTTATACTTCTATATCTTAACAGGACCAAGGATAACAGTGGGCATATGGAAGGCATTCAATAAATACACCTAGGTTGATTGATGAAGGAAATTGCTTTTGACTAACCTTTTTCTGGGAAAGTAGGCTTGGTAGCTTTCTGGTCCTTTCTGGCCTTGGTGTTTTGAATCTGTGTGATGAGACAAGCAGATGGCTGCTTGTATGAAGTCAGGTTTTTATCTAGTGTTTTTGGAAATGGTCGATGAAGAAAATCCCCTTTCTTCTCTTGCTCTTTAAGCTTTTTGTCCTTTAAATCAAGAGACAAAGAAACACACACACACACAAAATCAATTTGATTCTTCTTTAAAACGGAAACAAACGAGAAATGTTGGACCATCTGAGCATCACACTATGGGCTGTATTTAAAGAAAGAAAAAGAAATCAGTTAATCAGGGAATTAAATGCCCCTTGAAATTCTGCTCTCCTGTGCTCCTGGGATTTGATGACTTCTGGATACTTTGAACCATGCTGTTTCAAGGAATTCTACCCCAGGGCAAGGTCATTCTTGTGAGGTCATTTATTATGGGTCACACTGATTAAAGTTAGGACATATAAATCTAGGCTATCACAAATCTACCATCTGCCTTTAAAGTGATACTCTGAGATTCTGTTTATAGCATTTCCTTTGCAAGGGCAGCACTAAATTTAAAAGCTTCTAATTTACTTTAAGCCAACAAGTATTAAGGAGAGTCAAGGAAGTGAATAGCAGAATTATGACTACAAATTAGTTTCTCTGTAAGATCCTGGATAAGAGTGAAGTAGCACAGTGGACAGAGTGTCTGTCCTGGAGTTAGGAAGATCTGAATTAAAATCTGGATACTTATTTAACTGTGTGACTCCAGGCAAATCACTTAACCCTTTTGCCTCCGTTTCCTCATCTATAAAATGAGCTGGGAAAGGAAATGGCAATCTACTCCAGTATGTTTGTCAAGAAAACCCCAGATGAGGCCATGAAGAGTTGAATATGACTGAAACGTCTGAACAACAAGAAGATCTTGGATAGTGGACTTTGGTTTAGGTAGAAAGGCTAGAACTTTCTCTTACTCACTATTCTTAGAGGCATATAATTGAGTTACTTAATCTTATATATGTATATCTAAGGGTGTGCACATACATTTACCTTTTAATTTATGAGTCTCCAATCCCATGACATAGAAGGGCATTCTTTAGGGGTTCAATGAACTTATAATAAGTAGATTTTGTTATGAAGAACAAAGTTTGGCCAACAGAACAAGGGTAAAGCAGATTCCTCCCAAATTATACCTATTTTATCTAATTGGGTTTGGCTTCAGGCATCACCTATCACCTTCCCCTGGTAGCTGTAGGGCAGAGACTGTCTTTTGCCTGTTTTTTGGGGTATCTCCAGTACTTAGCATAATGGAAAATAATAGGTACCTAATAAGTGTTTATTAACTGACTGACGGCCCTTTTCTACCAGTTTCTTTCACTTTGGTAGAGGCTGGAGATTTTACCTGGGTGATTGGGGTTTTTTTTGCTAGCAATAAGCTGTTTATTAGCAAATGCTCCCAAAACACATTTTTGCCATATTGTTTTTGCTGTGTTGGTTAAACAAAACCAGTGAATCTAAATCACCTTAAGTAAAATAAAGTATTGAGTGTTTTTATCTGTCAAATATCATACCAAGTCATACCTTGTTATGACAATTAGTTTGTTTTAGTCTACAGGCTAAAATACAAGCTCCTTTTCCTTACTTTCCTAGAGACTTTAAGAAAATCTAGGTTATTAATAAAAACTTTTAACCTTAGAACCTCCAGATAAGAATCTGCCTGGTCATTAGGACAAAGTCAGTCCCTGACCTATTTAAATTCTTGTATATTCAGATTAGCCATAATCATCTCCTCATTTATACTCTCTGTAGGGAATTAAAGACTAAAAGATAAAGATTGTTATCATCACTCATTTATTTATTTTGCCCATATTCTATTTAAAATTGTATTTTTCTCCCAATTACATGTAAAAACAATTTTAAACATTTAAAAAAAAAATTATAAGTTCTAAATTCTCCCCCTCCTTCCCTCCTTTCCCTTCCATTCATTGAGAATGAAAAGGAAAACAATTTGAAAACAAGTTATAATGTGTAGTCCTGCAAAACATATTTGTATATAAGTCATGTTGTGAAAGAAAACACAGGCAAAAAAAATAACCCTGCAAGAAAATAAAATTTTAAAAAGTATGTTTTGATCTGTATTCAGACTCAGTTCTTTCTCTGGAGCCAATGGATAGCATTTTTCATCATGAATCCTTCTGAATTGTCTTGGACCATTGTGTTGCTGAGAATAGCTAAGTCATTCACAGCTGATCATCACACAATATTGTGTTATTGTGTTAAATGGTCTGGTTCTGCTCATTTCACTTTGCATCAGTTCATATAAGTCTTTCCAGGTTTTTCTGAGAACATTCTGATCATCATTTCTTAAAGTACAACAGTATTTCATCACAATCGTATACCTCTTCAGTCATTCCAACTGATAGGCATCTCCTTAATTTCCAATTCTTTGCCACCATAAAAAGAGCTGCTATTGATATTTTTGTACATATAAGCCCTTTTCCTTCTCTCTTTTGGATACAGATCTAGTAGTGGTATTGCTTGGTCAAAAGGTATGCATGGTTTTATAGCCCTTTGGGCATAGTTCCAAATTACTCTCCAGAATGCTTGAATCAGTTCACAACTCCACCAACAGTGCATTGGTGTCTCAATTTTCCCACATCCCCTCCAACATTTGTCATTTTCTTTTTCTGTCATATTAACCAATCTGATAGATGTGGGGTGCTTCCTCAGAGTTGTTTCAATTTACATTTCTCTAATCAATAGTGATTTAGAGCATTTTTTCATAGGACTATAGATTGCTTTGATTTCATCTAAAAACTGCCTGTTCATGTCCTTTTACTTTATATCAATTGGGGAATGACTTGTGTTCTTACACATTTGATTCAGATCTCTATATATTTTAGAAATAATGCCTTTATCAGAGAAACTTGCTGTAAGAATTTTCTGACAGTTATGATTACTGTGTATTTTCCCTCCATCCTCTTTCCCCTCCTGTATATCCTACTCTTCCTCTCCTTTCACCCTGTCCATCCCCAAAAGTGTTTTGCTTCTGACTACTGCCTCCCCCAACCTGCCCTCCCCTCTTTTCTTACACTCATTTCCCCTCCTACTTACCTGTAGGGTAAGATAGATTTCTATACCCAAATGAATGTGTTATTCCCTCTTTGAGCCAATTCTTATGAAAGTAAGGTCAAAAGTTCCTCCCTTTCCCCCATCTTCCCCTCCACTCTAAAAGCTCTTCTGTACCTCTTTTCTGTGAGATAATTTATCCCATTCTACCTCTCCCTTTCCCTATTCTCCCAGTGCATTCTTCTTTCTCACTTCTTAATTTAATTTTTTTTAAGATATCATCCCACCATATTCAACTCACATCCATGCCCTTTGTTTATGTACACTCCTTCTAACTGTCTTAATAAGGATAAAGTTCTTAGGATTTACAAGCACCATCTTCCTATGTAGGAATCTAAACAGTTTAACTTCATTGAATCCCTTACGATTTCTCTTTTCTATTTACCTTTTCAAGCTTCTCTTGAGTTTTGTATTTGAAAATCAAAATTTCTATTCAGCTCTGGTCCTCTCATCAGGAATGCTTGAAAGTCCTCTATTTCATTAAATATTTTTTTCTTTCCCTAAAGGATTATACTCAGTTTTGCTGGGTACGTAATTCTAGGTTGTAATCCTAGCTCCTTTGCCCCCCGGAATGTCATGTTCCATGCCCTCCAATTCATTAATGTGGAAGCTGCTAAATCTTGTGTTTTTATGACTGTAGTTCCACAATATTTTAATTGTTTCTTTTTGGTTGCTTGAAATATTTTCTCCTTGACCAGGGAGCTCTGAAATTTGACTATAATATTCCTAGCAGTTTTCATTTTGGAACCTCTTTCAGGATTGGTGGATTTAAATTTCAATTCATATTTTACCCTCTGGTTCTAAATATCAGGACTGTTTTCCTTGATAATTTCTTGAAAGATGGTATCTAATCTCCTTTTTGATCATGGATTTCAGGTAGTCCAATAATTCCTAAATTGTCTCCCCTTGGTCTGTTTTCCAGATCACTTGTTTTTCCAATGAGATAGTTCACATTTTCTTCTTTTTCATTCTTTTGATTTTGTTTTGTTGTTTCTTGGTGTCTCATTAAGTCATTAGCTTCCACTTGCCAAATTCTAATTTTTAAGGAATTATTTTGTTCAGTGAGCTTTTTTGCTTCCTTTTCCATTTTGCCAATTCTACTTTTTAAGGAGTTCTTTTCTTTAGTGAATTTTTGTACATCTTTTTCCATGTGGCCAATTCTTCTTTTTCAGGGTTCTTTTCTTCAGAAGATTCGTGTGCCTCTTTCAGCATTTGGTGTATTCTGTTTTTTCAGGTGTCATATTTTTCAATATTTTTTGTGCCTCTTTCACCAAGCTGTTGACTCTTCTTTCATGATTTTCTTGTATCACTCTCATTCCCCCCCCCAATTTTTCATCTATCTCTCTTATTTGATTTTTAAAAATCCTTTTTGAGATCTTCCAGGAAATCTTTTTTGGGCCTGAAACTAACTCACATTTTTGATTTGAGGCTTTGGATGTAGCAGTTTTGACTTTGTTGTTTTCTGAGTTTGTGTTTTGATCTTCCCTGTCACCATAGTAACTTTCTATGTTCAGGTTCTTTTCTGTTGTTGTTTGTTCATTTCTCTAGTCTATTTCTTGACTTTTAACTTGATGTTAAAGTGGGGCTTTGTTTCTGAAGTGCAGGGTGCACTTTCTCAAGCTTCAGGCGTTTTGTGAAGCTATTTTCAGAGCTAGTTCTGGGGGATCTGTAAGTTTTCAGTTGTTCCAAGGTGGTAAGGAAAGGAACATTTACTACTGTTCTGGCCTGTGTTCTGGTCTGTAACCCATCACAAGCACTCTTTTCTGCCTCGAACTATGACCAGTGTCTCCACTCCTCTCCAAGGTGTGCTAATGCTCCTCCTCACCTGGGACTGCAACCTGGATCCATGTATGGGAAATGCAGAGTCCTACACCCTTACCAGCAAAAGGATCCCCATAGTCTTTTGACCAGTTGGATGACCTCCTTAATGTCTATGGCCTGAGAGCCCCAGAAGTCACTGCTGCCAATTCAGTAGCTCTCAAAGCCTGCTACTGTCCTGTTGGGGGACTGCCTGTGCTGGATTGAGCCCCCTCTCACCGCAGTATGAC